TATTCGCAGGTACGCTGATGTTCGATTATCCCACGATGAAGGCTGGACCTCGCCAGTAGAAGCTTCGGACCTTTGGGGGTTTCAGAGGGTTAAGATGCTTTCAACCTCGAAACCTAAATCGCGCCCCCAGGATATGGCCGAGTTCCTGGCGACCCTGGCGCCACCTGTGCCAGTTCCCTCTCCCGCCGTTTCGGCGCCTGCTGTTTCGGTGCCGACGCCGGCCGTTCCGGTGCCCGCCGTTCTTCCGGCTCCGCTTTCTTTGGGTTGGAAAGTTAGAAAACTTTGGTTGCAATTCACCATTGCTGCCTTTTACTCCCCCACCCGAAGGTTTTCAGCTTGCAGGCTTGCTGGTTTGGGCATAATGGGGAGTTCTGCAGGCCAACGAACCGTGACTCGATCCGTGTTGTAGGAGGACCTCCTAGAGTGTCACAACGCCATCACCTCACTGAATCTTCTGTTGGTGGCCATGCGGCCGGGTGTTCCTTACGAACAACATCGTAGCCGAGCGCACGCTCACGAAACGGAAGAACCTCCGTCCATGGCAAGCCGCCCACCTGTAGCTTGACCGTAGGAGTTGGCGGACACTTCCGGACAGCCGCCGGTTTTCTACAGTTCTTTGTTCTGATTCCCGAATCTGAGTCGCCTGAGCATCAAGGTCCCTTGTACATGCGCCCCAGGCCACCAAACCCCCCATCAGCCAGGCCAAGGCGGCCCCTGGTCCCGAGGCGCCTGCGAGGCGTGGGAGCAGAGGGAGCAGATTGGGTTTTCGTTTGGGGCCTTTTGTTTTGGAGCTTTGGGGAGAGTCCCCGGGAGCTCAGCCACTCACCTCAGTCCCACCCGCCAGCCTTGGCTTGCCAGCGTTTATGCCTTCCTGCGAGAAAAAAGTATTCACGAAAGCTAGTGTAATTAGCCTTGAGTTTTACTCTGCTTTGGCAGGATTTGTCGAATCTGCTCGTATCAATTCTTGCATGGGGGGAGTTTGGGTCCAGAATGTGTTCGTCAATGCTACAATTGGGGTATACTTGAAGGTTGCGCAGGGATCTTGAGCTATAGATCGCGGTCCTCTTACGTGTTTTGGAAAGCTCTGCGGGCCTGGAACGCAGTCTCCATGCAAGACCAAGCGATGAATCGGCCTAGGGTTCTCGAAACCACATTTGATGTATGTTTGGGGCTTACGCAGGGACCTTGAGTTATAGATCGCGGTCTGCATGGGCGTGTTTACGTCTTCTTATCTCAAGCACGTGTTTGGAGAGCTCCGAGAACCCGGACCGCGGTTTCTTGCATGTTGCTTCACATGTTTGCACTGCCAACTTTTATGTCGGCTTCTTGGCATGGGCGTGTGCGGAATTGTCCGAACATGTTGCTCAAGTGTTGAGAAAAACTTGGGCAACAACACCCCATCAAAAACTACATGTCAACCGCCGGCTTTGTTTGTCCTGGAGTAGCTGCCCGAAGTCGGCCTTTGTGTCACCTAGGGATACGTAGTGTAGGTGAGGTCTTTGGGGTATGTAGTGTATGTAGGGTACTAGGGTATTCGGGTATACGGAGTGGGTGCACAAATAGAGTGTACAACATCGGGATGATAGGGTACGTCGGAGAAGGGGGCAAGGAAGAAGAAGAGGGGGTGCGATCGTCAGAAGTTGCGAAGGCGTACCAATACGCAAAACAACCGCATAGCCAACGAAGACGAGCCAAGAAGAAAAAACAAAAGCACAGTAAACCAACACGCACCCAAAGGCAAAACAATGGCATATAGAAAACGAAGGCACAACTACAAGCAAAACAACCGCATACAGTAAGCGAAGAGCACCAAGAAGCAAAACAACCGCACGTAGTACGCGAAGCCGCACCAACAAGAGAAAACAACCTAACAGAGACATCGAGGATGCACTACTAAGCAAAGCAACCGCATGCGGTAAGCGAAGGCACACACCATGAAGCTAAACAACTGCACGTAGTAAGCGTGGACACACCAGTAAGCAAAACAACCGAATGTAGCAAGCAAAGGCGCGCCAGAAAGCAAAATAAGCCACCTCGAATCTAGGCAAACCTCCGTTGTCCTCAGCTTGCCCGTCAAGCATAAACGACAAACGGGAGTCTTTCGTGAATATTGTTATGCAACTGCCGAGCAGCGTGAATGTTTTTTTTTTTAAACTTTCGTTGGAAATATCACCGTGCAAATGCTCGTGCAACCGTTAAGCAACAAGTAAATGCAACTGTGAAGCAACAAGTAAACGGGAAAACGCTTTCTCAACAAGAATATTTAAATACAACATCAGCAGCTTGAAGAAATTGGTTCAATGCATTAAAGACATCAGCTGCTCATACCCTAAGCAACGATGTTGTTGTTCAAGCGCACATGATAACAATATTTTTGTTGAGTAGCTGGTGGACGCACTTTAATGTCCCTGGTTGTTTCCTCAGTGTCGCTGGTTTTTTGGCGCTTCGCATGTATTTGCGGATTCCGGGTCTGGTTTTGGCACGTGGGGGGCTGGGGGTCGGCTGGGGGCTCGCGCCCTAAAGCCTCAAAGCACCTTCATCCCAGCCCCAGCACCTCCATCGGTCAGCATCTGCTTGTGGAGCTACCTTGGAAGCTGCCTTTGGGCCGTCAGGATCTCAGCAGAAGAAGTCTCCAAGGCCACCTTGCTGCAGTCAAGTGGCACATGAATCCGTTAGTCGGGCTTACGCTCTGTCGTTGCGGGTGAGACGGGGAGCTTGCATTCTCAGGCGCCGTTGCTTATCGGCTTATCGTGCTGTTGCAGCTAGACAACCCAGAAATCTTCAACTTAGAGCGACTCCATGAAGGTGATCTCCTCGGCGGTGCGCGCAGCACTGGACGAGGCCCAAAGCGCCTGCGTAAGATCTGCATTACAGCCCGATTTTTTTTAAACATTCCGACGCTGCATTCTTACGAGCCAAGACGCTCCAAATGCCTTGGAGCCCCAACCTTCCCAAACCACAGGCGACGGTGGAGCTCGAGACGCCATTGACGGAGCCGGGGTCCCAGGGGCCCCGACTGCGTTCGGATACGTTCAGATTTTGAGCGCGAACATGTCCGACTGAACCCCCCTGAGAAAAATAGCTCAGCGAACCTTGAAGCCGCGAAGGCCCCTCTGACAAGCCCGATAAGAACGGTATAAACGGTATAAACGGTAACCCTTAGCAGGAGTGGCTTGGACAGCCTCGGGGCTGTGCAGCTGCGCCGCTCGGCTCACTGGGCTTTGTGCTTGCTGGGGCTTTCTGGATTGTTTGCGGGCCAGGGGTTTGGATGCTTCAGGGATGGTTTAAGGGTAATGTTGGGAGTTTGTTTGATTCTGTTTGGCTTAGGGGCTCGGCGTTCTGTGTAGGATTCGCCGCTCTGGAAGGCTGGCCGCTTTCTGCGTCCGAAAGGAAAAAGCGCCAAAAGGCCACCACAAACCCTAAAGCCATCCGAAACTCAAACGTCGAGATTCCCGCACCGTGACCGCACCTAGGAAACCAGTTGCAATCCGCTTTCGGGGTGCAGCTCCCGGGCACGCTGCTGTGCGGAGCCCCGGTGTTCATTCAAAAAGCTTCAGACAGATGGCATACGCGCCTGAGACCATCTGAGACCCCGAATCAGGGGCGCCCTTAGTTTGAGTTTCGGAGACAAGCACTTTTGCCGGGGGCCCACTGCCAAGGTTCGACCATCCCTCTGTGAGGGAGCTCACGGACTTCGTGTGGCGCGCTGTCTCCGATGCGCCGCAAGGAAAAAGCAAGCCATGAACCCATTTCTCCTTCGGTTTCAGAGTCATTGAGTGTCTGCAGCATTTGCAGGACTTGTGTCACCAGAATGGCCCGCATTTGGGGGTGTTGGGCACAAGACCCTAAACCCCATCAACTACTGTGAGTAGGACCTACTAGGGCTGCACACTTCGTCTATTCCGGTTGGGGGCGCTGTGCACTTTCCTTCGTGCACTGGGACTCTCGGGTGCACCGTCGTAGATGCTACCTGGATCACCGCGGGAGATCACAGGGCCTTCAATGGTCTTGGAGAGGCTTTGGCTCTTCCAAAGCGAAACTGCAAATCGCTCTGAGGTTCTCTAGGGGGTTGGCGTTTCTCCTCTAGCAGTGGCGAGCCTGGCACACTTGGTAGGGTTGGCGCCTTATCCCTTCCTCCAGTCCCCTGGTTTGTTCCCTGGTCCTCTGCTCCCTTGGTCCCCTGGTCCGGTTGCCCTTTTGTTAAATACGCCAAAGAGCCAATGTCGAGGTTGATTGTAAGGTTGGTCGGTACTGGGTACCTCGTTTGATTCTTTGCGCACCCTTTGATCAGTTGTGAAATGACCCCTCTCTTGACGAGCCCGATGGGGACATGTCAACCAGGCTCGAGGGCCACATGTTTGCAACGCATTTGGTTCAAGAGTGGGTCAAAGCGCAACTGCAGTGAGTTGCAGAGGATGAATTTGAGGTTGCATGACTGGCCAGGAACACCGAGATGTTACATTAAACCAAAGACGATGAACCCGGAGCACGGGCAGTCGGAAGCTCCATTTCTTGGGATTGGGCCGAGGTACAGCCCCAGAAAAGGGTGTCACTGCGAATTGTAAACCTGATTTCCAATTGGCCTTTCATGCCCTTAAGGCACTTTGGGGCAAGTGCTTGAAACACGTCCTAGGAAAAACCTGCCCGCTCGGGTTTCACGGTGTGCCGCCCAGCATACTTTCTCAGTTCGGCACATTGCAGAGAACTCGGAATAGACATTGAAAAGTTGCGACCTTCAACAGCAAGCAACATCTCCGCAAAATTTGTAATTAGTTCTAGAGCCTGATCCCAAAATGCACAAGTTGTATAAGGTTTGTTCAGATCCTTAACGCGGCTGCATAAGGTTCAGTGTCAGAGTGTTTCTTCTGAGAAAGCCAGATACTATGAAAGGAATGCGCAAGATCCGATCCAGAAAGTGCCGGTAAAGCGTGTCAAGTACTCGTGCGCGGCTACGCGGCTACTTCTACGTACTGTTGTGCACTGAGTGATTCACTGAAGCTATGCATCGCGACCGCGGACGTCGGCAATGTTGGCTCCTTGCAATGTTATTGCTGCTGGGCTTGGTTGTGCCTCGGCAGCAGTCATTCGATGATTTCTGCAGCGTTGTGGCACATTCTTGTCAGACATGCGTTCATGCGTTCAGGCGCAGCCAGCATGGCTGCCGCCGCCCCGTCGTGCGAAGCCCAAGCTTGCGGGTTGTGTTTCGGCGAGGGGATGCCTTAGACGTCAGGGGGCCTGAGGGCGCCTCAGGATTCCTCAGCGTATGTTGCTGACCACTTGCTTTGGGCTAAACGGTTCTCTGAGTGAAGGGCATTGTGATGCCAAACTCGTGATTGTTGTCCGGGCTGGAGGATTAGGTGTCTCAGACCAGGCATCAAAAATGCTACAGCAACGAGGTAAGACGACCGACAAGAAGGAGATGCTTTTCTTTGAAGTCGAAACGATAAGTGCAAGATGCTTCAGGCATCTGTGCTGCCTTTGCTTTGTCCTCCAAAACTGACTCCCGACACGACTGCCCTCCCGCTGAGGGCGCGAGGGGCTCTTGCAGACGGTGGCAGTCCTGTGGGTGCCACAGGTGAGGGCTACACAGTATTTGTCATTGAAAAGACTTGAGGTTTGGCTGTTTGAGGGTTGAAGTTGAGGGGTACGTATTGTTGTATCTTGGAGGTTCTTGTAAGGGTTCCCCGAAGCCCCTCCATCCCGAAGTACCCCCAAAGCCCCCAAACGCTTTCCCTTTGGTGCATCGGAGTGACAGGTCGCCTTGGCAAAAGAGGCAGCAAGCGCCAAAGATGCGAGTGAGGCTCATGGCTTTCTGGGTTTTGAACACGAGGATGCACGAGGCTTGGGTCCGTGTGAAGGTTCGCGGGGCAGGAGAGCTCTCATTGCTTTTCCGGCCGGCCGTAGGATGGATGGTAGGGCTTGGGTTGTTAGAGTTGGAGTTTTCGTTTCACTTGGTGAAGCTGGATGCAAGTTTGTGGGATTTGTGGCAAGGGAGTGCCGTCATCACTGTCATCCATCAGTACAGTCCAACAAAGTCTAACACTCTTTGTGCTGTGTCTGTGTGTGTGTGTGTGTCGGCCGTAGGAGCTGCCGCAGCTGATCCGCTTTGCGGACAATCCCGTCACTGGCTTGGCCCCCCTTCCTTTCATTACTTCTTTGTGAAGCTGGCCTATCAAGTTCCAGTCAGGACGACGTCTCTGTTTTTCAGCACAGTCAATGTTACCGCTGCATTACATGCCCTTGAAGTGCCCAGCCACGCTAACTTTTGGCCTTCAGTCGGGCTCAGGCACTGAGCGGGTGGCAGATACGCCTCCCAAGCGCCGCTCCTCCGCAGTTTTTCTCCAAACTTAGAGAACTCAGCACACCCTTCGAGAACTCAGGCGTTTTGTTTCAGCGAGATAGATTTCCGACGGAATGTAGTTCATTGTGCCCTTTTCAGAAGGGGCGCTCGGCGTGTGTGCAATGATAGTGCGCCCCGCGGGAAACATTCACATGAAATTCACATCATTCACGCCCTCGGCAGATTGGGTCAGCATTTTTTTTGCTTCGGAGCTTGCAGTGATCCGCGGCGGTTGGGTAGCACTACCAGAAACAATGTCAACATCAACGCCGCACTGTATGGTCTTTTTTTGGTTTGCTGTCGAAAGTGGCTTCCTGTCTTCTTTTCTGCAGAGCTCCATAGGCACCGGCTCTTCTCCGGAGCGGAAGCCGGAGCGGTAGCAAGAGCAACAGCAGGAGCGGCAACATCACCAAAAGCGGCAACAGCAACAGCACCAGCACAAACAGAGCAACAGCAAGACAACAGCCCGAAGCGGAGCAAGCCTCCGCAAGCCCGAAGTCCTAGTATTCCTAGTCTGAACACTCGGTGCCCCAAGTCTTTCTCAGGACTGGATCACGGTGCGGAAGGAGGCCCCTACCATTGGGTCCAAGGCCAGTCTGGTAGTGAGTGTTGTCTCAAGGGCTTCAAGATGTTGCAAGGGCTTCAAGATGTTGCACGGGTTTCAAGGGTTTGGGATCCTCAGTTGTGGTGAAGACTCCAATGCAAGCTGGATGCTGGCAGCTGGCAGCTCTGCGAAGATTTATGATCCAGTTTGGCATGACTCAGAGTGTGTCTGTGTGTGTGTGTGTGTCCTCAGGGTGAATTCTCCTTCTCATGGAATCTTGTCTTTTGTTCCTTCACTGCTTCAATAGGGCTGAGCGAGAAGGATCCATGACCCTAAGCCCTAAGCCACGAAATAAACAAGGATCCAGAACGCCCACAAATCGCAATAGAAATCCCACCGGCAGAGTGTCGTTCCAGCACACCAGCGACCACAGCGCTCCAGCGCCCAGCAATTTGCGCTTGAGAGTCCCAGCGGGTTTCTGGAGTCGCCACCCCCGCAGAATCTTTCGCATAGAACCTCGAGAGTGCTCACATCACTTGTGCTACTTATTTTCTAGACACTTTGCAACTTGGCTAGTTGCATTGGTTCCGGGTTGTGCTTGTGTATTGAGAAGTTGATGAGAGTTGATGATGCTGCAACTCAGAACTGCAAGTCCCTCGACCTTCACAAGCCCTCTGCACAACTTTCTCTAAAGAGAGACAGGCCGAGTCTTTGCTGTTTTCGGGCGGACCGTTGGCGAAGCCACTCGGATCACCCCAAAACGGATGTTCATGGATGTTGGGAGTTGCTGGACACAGGGTGGTTTTGGAGGCTTGGATGTTCTCGAGACCTGTGTGATTTTGCTCCTTTTGGTACTTCCGCGAAGCTTGCGCAATGTGGCCCCGGCTCGCAGCCTTAAGTGCAAAGTACATGCTGCAATACAGCCCTTGAAGGCCTTTGACCAACTCATTTGCAAAAATGCTTCGCCGCTACGCATCGCGGCCTCTTCCCAACGCAACTTGCCGGATGTTGTGGTGAAAAAACGAGAGCGCCGAGAACGCAAAACAGTGCTGCCGCTGTCGGCTGGGATGGGGAAGAGATAGACCACGCTGGACCAGAACTGAAGGGGGCGGGTCAAAGGTCGGAGTGGGCTCGCCGGCGCAGGGGGAACACGATCGCAACATCAACGAATCGAATAGAAATGCGATCTGAGAGAGGCCGAGACTGCTCCAAGGAAGACACATAAGAATGTGTTTCCTTATGGGCCACACCAGACAGGTGTCAGACCTCAGGCCGAAGTGAAGATGCGACAGGGCCGTTCCGCTTTGAAAGCCTCGCCAATCTGAGTTGCCCTGAGCCAATGTCCTCGAGTGTTCCAAAGCCAAGGTCCGAAATCAAGATCCTGCGGGTGCCGCTGAAGAGCTCCTTGGCTGCAACCCAAGGCAGCAACGCCAAGGACAATCGGTTTGTTGCTTTGGGGAGCTTGAGAAAACATCTCCAAACATCTACCAAATCAACAGTACTTGCTCAAAGCAGTCGCTCAGAGCAGGGTGTCAGGATGCTTGGGAGCCCACTCCACACCCCCACTCGGCCCCACACCCGACTCCACGCAGATCTCCAACATCTTCCACTTGTGACTCCTACTTATCCTACTTCTCAGATTCTCTCCAGGCAAGTCCGACACCATGGGCTTCTTCCTGGACAAGTCGCCTGCGATGAGCAAGGCGAAGTCTAGGAGTCTAATCTCTACAGTGTCTACAGCGTTCGCCAGCCCAAGAGATGCGAAGTTCCAAAACCCCAAGTCACCTGGACCTTCCTCACAAGCCGACAGCAGGAGCAAGCAGCCACGGCTCTTAGCCGATCCTACGAAAAGAAGCCGTCGACCTTCCGCCTGCCCAGCCCGCTTAGGGCGGGGTTTCAGGGTTCTTTCCGGGATCTTCTGTAGGGTTCACACGCTGTGTCCTTTTGCGACCTTGCTTATGTCCACGAAGTACAGTAGTCGCCAAGAATCCTTGTAAATCCCGGGATCGGTAACTTGCTTTTGATCCCTCACACGTTTCCTTCGTGCGCTTTCCTCAAGGCTTCCAGGCTTTTTTGCAGCTTCCAGGATTCAAGCTGCTGGGAAAGACGGCCGCTGACGAACGGAATGGCAATCGCTACCTGAGGCGCGCCTAAGCCTTGAACATCATCAAAAACCTCCGGCACCCTGAAGCACCCTGAGGCCATCAGGCTTGCCCTTTCAGGGATTGCGAATCCTCAGCATGAGTGCACCTATATGGACGGAATGCGGCCCGCCCTTGCTCACACGCCTTCAAAGCCGCTAAAGTTAACCCCCTGAACCCAACGAAGCGCGCGGAAGCCGCTCAGACCGCAGGTACGGCTTCAGTGTCGCGCGCTGTGAAGGTGCGCAGGTGCCTGACACCGACGGCCAGATGGCGTGCATCAGGCGCTCTTGGGAGTTTGCAGAACTGTCGGTACGAGTCGGAATGGCTCGACTTAAACAATCCTCTTTTTCGTCGGGGCGAACTGGCTGCCCGCGAGCCCTCCAAGCCTCAATGACATGTCATCAAGCCCCAAGGAAAGCTTTTGATCCGAGCCCTCCAAGCCTCAATGAAATGTCATCAAGCCCCAAAGAAAGCTCTCAAACTGGTGCGGACGGCCTGCCCGCCCGGAGTGGGTGGCTAGCCTGCGAGCCCTGGCTGCCCAGCAAGGCAGGACTATGAGGATAAGCTTTGGTATGTAGGCGGCCAGCTTTCACTTGAACCGGTCATTATGGGCTGGCTGCCCGCGATCCTTCCAGGCCACAATGAAAGCTGTCCTCGTGCTCTGCAAGCCCCAATCAATTTGTGGAAAGCTCTTAGAACGGTGTGGGCTGCAGCAGTTAGCAGCCTGCACACTCTCCAAACCCCGCAAATAGTGCAGAGAAGTAGGCTGTTGCCTGGCACTACTCTAAATCGGCACGCGCAATGAAAGCTCCCAAAACAGTGCACTGGGTGAGGGGCTGACGCACCAGCCCCTCACCCACGCCGTTTTGAGAGCTTTTGTTGGGGAGGGCGCGGGTGGGCGTGTTTAGGGTTTCGGGCTGAGTTTCGGGCTTTCGGGTTTAGGGCTTAGGCTTAGTCGGGGGGCGGGCGCGGGTGAGGTGGGAGGGGGGCGGTTTCCCCCCCCACCCCCAAAAACCCGAAAACTCGAAGCCTTGAAACCCTGAAGTCTAAATCGTCTGGGCTGGCACTGCGCCTGTGGGCTGCTAGCCCGCGCTCTCGTAAATCGGTGCTCGAGCGCCAAGCAAGCCCCAGCGCAAGCTCCGTAAACCAGGCTTGAGAGCCTGCACGCCTTATGGCTACACCCCCACCTCACCCGACCTCAACCTCACCCGCCAGGCCAGGCGAAAAGGTGCCGCGCCTGCATTGAACGCGCTGTGTTTTTTGAGGGCTGAGGGGCTGAGATTTCACACCATGCCTGAGACAAGCAGAGCCCTTCTGATACTCCTTCAAAGTTGAAGCTAGGACGTCACAGAGCTGACGAAGATGGACACCACAGCCAGGCCACGTGCTCGGGGTTTAGAAACGCTGGGGACAGCCGCATTTCAGGTTTCAAAGTCTCGCAGGCTCAAAGGGCTGCGGTTTGGGAGTCGATATCCTGGAAGAGAGGCACTGGGAGGTGGCGACCACAGTCACCACGGAGAGCAGCGGTGCTCCCTATGCCCTGTGGCTGGTAGCACCTTGGCAGCAGCCCGGACACCACCCAAACCCACCCTCAAAAATTCCCTCAACTCTTCCGAACAATGTCGTTGCCTTGACATGGCCCGCCAGCATCGCACCAATCATTATCATTAGACGAGTTCTTGTGTCTAGGTTGCCCTATCGCATGTGAAGCCTATGTGCACACGCAGCGCAGTTCCTTAGGACCGCCTGGTCATGGGAGCGTCGCGCCATTTTTAGTTTCGAGCTGTGGGTCCCTGCCTGTCCTGCCCAAAAAGCCACAAAACATTGTCGGCATCTGCACCGAGAGTTCAAGGCACCCCTCACGACCTTGAAGCATGAAAACCGAGTCTCTTCAGCGAGACGAATATATACACTATGACATACTACTAGCCTTTGTCACATGGCGAGTTTGATGTGCTCCAGTCTTGGTGGCTGTTCGGGTAAGGCTGCAAGGCCAACCCTTTGTGCCGCCTAGAAAACTTCAACTCTGCGTGTTTTCCATGCGAGAGTGCGAGAGGAGGAAAAGCCAAAAAGGAGAAAGAAGGAGGAATCCCCGTGTGCGCTGCCAAGTGCAGGCCTCCACCTCTGCCAGCCATGCCCACTCCCCAAAAGCATCCCAAACAGTTCCCAACAAAACATATCTGGCCCAATCTGAAACCCAGGCTTGCTGAATTTCAGGGTGAGGTGTGGAGATTCTTGGCCCAAAATGGCGAGAACCAAGGAGTGCAGCCTCCCCTCAGAAAGCTGGAAGGACTCGAGAGACTCGAGCGCTACGTCTCGGGGCAGATTCTTCAGCTAGAGTTTTGGTTTATGAGGCTCACCGAGGCTTAGTGAGGATCAGATTGCGAAGATGGTCTATAGGAAAGTATGGTACCCACGATTACCGGACAAGAACACTACGGAAACCTTCTAGTTTGATAGGGGCAGGTTTGTTCGTTTAAGACTCCTATCCATGTGCGATAGACGGCTGCTTTCCGAGACCATACAAGCAGTCCGAATTGTTCCGGATCCCTCCAGATCCTTTGCCGAACAGGACTCATCAGCGCAAATTAACGCTGTGATGGACAGCTTTGCAGCTTCTCGATGGCACTTGGCACTGGGGTTGCTGCAGATTCTGTGTTGGCTTTTGGATTGACATGGTCAGGCAACTTTGACTTTTGCAGCGCTCACATTGCCCACCCCAGCACGCTGCACCCAGGTTGGAACGAAAGCGCAACTTGAGGCGATGACGTGATCTCTCGGCGCTTCTCTCTGCGCCCGATGCGCGGAAGATAAACAATCGCTTGGGCCCCCGAACACGGGCAACATGAAGTCCCACGCCCGGCCCTGATCCTCCCGAAATCAAAGCCGGCAAGCCCTCACCGGCCATCCTAAGCTCACCTCATCTTCGCATTGCTTCAGCGACCCCAAATCCTAGAACCCCTGACAGCCCTAAAAAGACCTTGAAAATCCCTTCGTATCGCAGCGTTGGCTTTTGGACGGGTGCGCTGACCCGGGGCGAGGAGGCCTTTGCAAGTGCTGTAGGGGGGATTTGGGGCAGGAAGATTATGAGAATCGTGGAATTGATGCTTTGCAGGCAGTCAGGCTTACGGGGATTGCACTGATTTCTTAAAGGGCATTTTCTAAGTCTTCAGAAGTGTTTGAGAGGTGACGAGGGGGGCGTTCCGTGGGTTTGCCTTGGTCCCAGGTGCCATGGCGGAGAAGAAGGGAACCGCCGTCGCGCTCTCCGAAGAGCGCCTCGGTTCTAACATTGAACGAAGGTTCGGGGGAGTCTGCAATATTCTGCAATATTCTGCACTTCTCTCCAGGGCGCCTGAAAACATGAAAAACCTGCAGCGCTTGGAACTTTGGCCCTTCAAACTGCTGAAGCCCAAACCGTTTATAAACCCGAGGTCCACGGGTGTGCCTTACGGAGAGCTCATTCGTGCCTCCTCATGCAGTTGAGTGCGATTTGGAGCAAACCGTTCGCTCGAGCCGCTTTTCTCTGTGCTTCGGCGACCGGCATGATCGTCCTGGTAAAAGGTGCTTCCGCTATGGTAGTTCCCTGCACTCACGGCGTTTACATGGTTCGACCCCACCGACCCCATATTGAGGAGACTATGAGCCACCGGAGGGATCTTCGTGGAGGTTTGGCCGACCGGACTATGCCGGCAGCCGAGTCCAGGGCTCCTCAAAAACACAGTGAAAGCCAAAGCCAGCCAAAGGCACAGGGAAGATCCACCGTAAGATTTGGATAACATCAGCTTCAAGTCCCTCTGCAGAGTGCTCAACCCGATTGGAAGGCCTCCGTGAACAAGCTTTACTTTCAGCACCGGACCATGGCACACCAGGAAGGCTCCCTGGAAGCCTTGGTTCCTCGTCAGAAGTCGTCGTTTGTGACACCCCTTAATTCTCCAAACAACTTCAGTTGGGGGTTTTTACTTTTCTTAAAGGAAGGGTTTCTGTGACGTTCCTTTGATACTTGCGTCTCCCATTTGTCGGCCCATTTCGCTTCCGCACCCTGGATGCTGTGACGTGCGTTGAGGACTGGTGGAGTCATTTGTTTCGCTTGCGCTTCCCATGTGTCTCCCAAACCTTGAAACTTTCTCATTTGTCTCCTGTTTGTCTCCCGCATCCTGGATGGGGTGACGCCCGTCTGGGGCTGGTGGACTCATGTTTGTCTCGTATTTGTCTCTGACCTCTCTCTCTCTCTCTCTCGCTATCTCTCCACTCTCAATCTCTCCCTTTCTCTCCATCTCTGTCTATCTCTTGCGTGAAAATTGAGCACAGGATGCTTCGTGACGCCTGGGACTGTTGGGCTCGCACATTTGTCTCCCTTCATTTGAGAAAACCTTGGCTGTCACGCCCTGGGTCTCCGCAGCATTGCTTTCAGGAGTGTGTGCCAGTCACCTCGCAGTGGGAAAGAAAGCCCCTGAATCAGACGCGCCTTGAACCAACGTCGATAGAATGAATGACCCCCTCCCCCTTGACCCCCCAAGGGGAGCATACAACCCTTAATTTTTCTTGCGAGCTGTGTGTCCAGTCAAAATCTCAGCTCTGCATGGGATGGCACCCTTAGTCGTTGGTCCGTTCGGGCTCTGGAACTGGAAGGTCTCCTGGTCTAAGGCGGGTATGAAGGCTTCCGAAGGGTCCCGTACCTGGGATGGGACAGATAGGTGCCTTTCTGGATGGAGGTCTCGGTGCTTAGTGGATCTCTTGCTTTTGCATTCAAGCCCGCAGGGATGGGACCGAACGGTTCATTCGCGGATGGCTCCGGATCCCGCAAAAAACAGGAGTAGTTTATTTGGTCTGCTTGCAACCAGTTTCAAAATGCCAAGCTCCCATCCTGGAGCTGACAGGGATGTAGATGAGTGTGGCTTGGGAAGTAGCCAACTGCAATTCACCAGGCTCCAAGAATGCACTTGGGCATGTTCCAGAGCTTTTTCAAGGGTTTCCGTGTCTGCTCCTATGCAAACAAACGAGAGAACCACAAAATCCATGACAAACCTTTCGACGGCCGATCTACGTGGCCCAAAACCCCGCGCTGTTGTAGGATGGTATCGAGTCTCAGTCTCTGTTTTGAGTCGGGGCTGGGATGATTCTTGTTGCTTTGTTTTTGGTGTTTTTGAGCCACCTGTTTGCGGGCCTCTGGGCCGCTGCTTGTTTGGATGTAAGGTCCAGAAGCTCGTCAAGAACTGGCAGGTGGAGTCCCTCCACATCAGCGCCTCCCGGACTTGGTGAGGGATGTCTTGGGACAGGGGCCAGGGGTTCTTTGGATTCTTTGGGACTTTCTTCTGCAAGGCCAAGGGTTGTGTGTGTGTGTGTGTGTGATTGTTTTTTGTGTTTGCAACTTGCAACATGCGCATTGTTTTCTCTGTGCGCTGCAGGCTGCCTGATTGTGCTAGGGGCAATCTTAGGAGGACGGAGAAGGGTACGGATGCTTGAAGGTGCTTTGTGCATCTTTGTTGTCGTGCGGAGCCCAAGGATGTTCACAAGTGGAAGACCATGGACACTGCAAAGTTCAAGGCCCACACTTGGTTGTGCCGTGGGCATGACCCTGAAAACATCCCTCTATCTGCTGTGCAGGCTCCTTAGATACCCCAAAATTCCTTTAAGTCCCCTGCCTCTCTGCCTGACCAGTTGGCCGTGAATGGCGGCTGCCCTTGCAATGCCCAGTTCCTGCCTCGTGGCTGCACTCAGAATTTGAGAATCCAAGTTCACGCACGCATGGCTTTCAGGCTATGTTCCACCATGCGCCCCAAGCAACTACCAAGCCTCTTGTAATCCCTAACTGCCATCAGAAGAAATCGTTGCAAAAAAGGTCTGATGTTGGGCACTACAGCCTGCTCGTGGGGGAGACGGTGGAGCCTTGCCGTGGGGCTTGGTAGTGTTCCTGTTCAGGGAGTGCTTCAGGAAAGGTCCAAGAAGCACTCAAAATTTGACATCCTAAGCGCAACATCACGTGGGATTCGAGCCCAGGATTTCTCGGCGTCCTCCGTGTCACACGACGGGTCGCGCAAGGCTCACTGTCACTTTTCACTTGGGTTGAAAACTTGGGAGATTCGCGGAGGGCTTAGGGCTGGCATGGCTGAGATCGACCTTTCCACATCTAAGGCTTTTTTCCTTGCGTTCTGACCTCCCCTGTTTTCCGCAGATCTTCGGCGATGCCTTTCCCGAAGGCTTTGCCTGGGAAATCCTAGAGGCCGGTTGAGGATGACACGGATGGACACCCATGATTCAGATCGACCCCCGAACAACTTCTTGTGAGTGTCTCCAAAGCCCCGAGGTATACTCCGGGCCGCCGAATGTGCTTTTCAAGTGGCGGCACTTCGGAAAGTACAGCGGGACCTACGTGGACAAGGCCCCGAAAGTCCATTTGGTTTCGGGTTCATTGGTGCCTGGGCAATCGGCGATAGAGTGATAGAGCGTTGAGAGTTGGGAGCTTTCGGCTCCTTCACGGGCTGGGGCGGAAATGGAATGCCGGCGTCCTCCCGTTCGAAACCCTGCCCAGATTCGATCCCGGAGCACAGATAGATCCTAGATGCTTGACCCCAAGGCCGGCAACAAGCACAAGGGCAGCGGCGCCGGGGTCTTGGCAGGGGAGGGAAGACTTTCCGAGGGGGGGGGGGGGGGCTCCAAAAACTTTCTCACTCCCTGGGCCCTCTCGAAGCTTCGAAGGAGATGCTGAACGTGGTGGGCATGTGCCTTGCAAAGGTCAACGAGCGGCTGGCCATCGCTTCTGGGTTAAGATTCAGTTCTCCCAAATTGAAGAGCGCTCAGAGCCTCACAGAAAGTAGAAGCCGTGTCAAGAGAAAACGGGAAGATGTGAAGGCTTCAGATTTGGGGGAGAGGGCTCAGGCCCCCACAATGTTTTTCCGCCCTTTAACGATTCAGGACCTTTGTAGTCATGGAGGTTGTGTCGTGGCCTGATGTGGCAAGGAAACCTTGGACGTGTACTACAACCCCGAGGACCATTCTCATGACCACCGCATACAACGGAAGCCAAGCCACTTCGTAAAGGCGCTTCGGAGTTGAATTCAGCACGTGGCCTCCAATGGCAGGACATGACCCGGCCCCTGACCTCCACACTGGCGGACGCCTCCCAGCGGCCCCTCCCAGTCGAGGAGGCCGACCCCAAGGCAAGCTTAGGGGTTTTTGGGTTTGACTCTGCGGCCGCTTTCATTGTTTGAGGGGTTTGGGCTTGAAGCACGGTGTGCTTCCCCTGCCATCCAAGGTGGGTGTGGGCGGTTGCAAAGCCGATGGCAAGTGCACGCTGATGTGAGGGGGGAAAGTTCGCAGCCCTCGTTTTTCTGGGTATTTGGCTTGGGCTGAACAAGGCCATGGCCAGGGTTGGGGTCTTGAAAGCCGTCTTTGCAAAGAATTTCGACGAGGTTTCTGTCCGATGTAGGAGTGTATCTGCCCCCCCCCCCCCGCCCCTAAACGGTTCTACGGTTCGAGCTCGGGAGCAGCAATGACTGCCAGAGAGAGCTCCTGAGAGGAGCGATCGTGCTTTCGCCTTGAACTTTGGGGGGAGGCGCGGGCGCGCGCCGTCCTTCCAGCTTAGTGGCCCGACGTGGCCCTCGACGTGCCCGGATGTGGCCCCTGTGCACTCGACGCAAGAGAGCTAGGGTTTTAGAAAGTGTTAAATTTATTAAAGGCTTAGGAAGCCTGGGACCCATGCATTGATCAATGAAGCATCGATTCAAAAAAATTGGCGTTCGCGTGCGGGGCTTCGCTGTGAACTGCTATGAACATGCTTGAGCGTAGCAGCAGCAACAGCCCTGCATTTACGCAGAAACTCTGTACAGCCCCCCCCCCCCCCCCGGCAGCACGGGGGCCGTTTTGGCGGTTAAAGGATGCCTCTGACAGCAGGTGCCGGCGGCCGCACCACGAAACCTCGCAACAAAAATGTAGCTGCAGAGGTTGTTTTGAGAATGTTTCAGATAGCTTGAGACATCCTGACGTATGCCTGGTGGCATTCTTCAGCTGGAATCCGCCCACGGGTAGGTCACCTCCAATTCAGATGCTTTCACCTGCATACCTGCCACTGGGGCCTTGAAGTGAACTGAACGGTTGGGCTAGGTCGAGGGGCTTGAGGGGCTACGGATGTGCTGTGATTGTTGTGGTTCTTCTCAGGACACGACTCACTCGCCAAAGTAGGGTGCACCAGCGGGGCGACCAAAAGTTTGTGCGTCAGCTTCGTGTGGGTAGGTGGACCTCAATGACCTCAAGCATGACGACAGGGCCTTAAGCTGATTTCGTTAGCGATGCTTTTGTCACCCAAAGAGACCTGCGCTCTTTGCTTAACACGATGGTTTGCTGTGAAAGAAGTGTCTTTGCTGCCACAGCATCTTGAACTTCTAGCTGGTCCAGCTATTCGCAACCCGAATGTTTCACACAGAAGCACTGAAAGTCCTCCTGTGAATTGCCGTGCCCCGCGCTATCCTCGTGCCACTGGCTCGATGCTATGCAGCTACGAGCAGAGCTGCCGGGTCACAGCCAGATGGCCAAGCCGAATGGTTTGTCGTGGTTCCCTCAGTGCTGCTCTATCGACAATGGCCGTTTTGGTTTGAGCCAGGCCCCCAAGGACCATCTCCACAGTCGCAAGTACCCCCCCCACATCGCAATCAGCTCCAAACTGAGCCCCCCCAAGCCAGGCCATCTTGACAAAAGCATAATGGTTTCCCAAACTTGCCCAGGCCATGGGCAGCGGTGTGTCGGGGCGGCAGTGCCCAAAACCATTCCAGGGGGTTCGGGTGGCGGAAGAAGCAAGGAAGAGCCAATTCTTGCTCGACGACCTTACCTTTAGATGTCACATAGTAAAAGAGCCGATGCAACAGCAAGAACCAGACCGGAGCATCACTACTTACATCGGAATACATCTTGTTAGAGCGGGGACTTCCGGAACGGATACGTGATGGGTTGCTGCCGTGGTAGCGTCGTCGCTGGGGCTGTTTGGTGTGTTGACCGGATGCGAGCAAGCACCCAACAACCCAACAGGTACCAGGCGGGCGCTAATGCTACCAGCAAGGAGGCACCAGGGAATGGAACGGCTGGGCATTGGTGGCGTACGAAACCCTCCAAGTCCTAGGCCCCTCAAGCCCCGAGGGTTGAAACCACTTGCACCTCAGGGTTTCAGGTTTCGATGACTTGCCAAGTTGTGGCAAGTACTAGTACAGAGTAAGCCTTCGCCACTTGCACGGGCTCTTCTCAGCAGAAGGAACCTTCTGTGCTTCCAGGCATTCCTTCAGCTTTTCGGTTTTTGGTCGCTTCTAGGTCTTGACAAGCATCGAGATGTAATAACCCCAGAGGGCCACGAGACTCCGAAGAAATCCCCTCGAGCCAAACAAGACTCGAAAGAGAGCCCCGCGCCTTGCTGGGAGGCCGAAGCCCGGGATGCGCTCCTCGGCTTTTTTTTCCGACTCTGGACCCGCACATCAACCTCGGCATCATCCAACCTTTCATAAACTCAATGAGAAGGGTGGTGTGATTTTTGTGATTTCAGTTCTTAACAAATTGTCTGCCAATGGGTCTGGCACCTTCGCCAAGGCGGCGGCCCTGTGTCGAGCAGGCACATGCCAGGCCATGTCACTTGAGAAGTGCTTTGTGAGTGGGAGGAGTCGGGAGGATTGGGGAGGATTCGGGAGGTTGTGGTTCGGCAAGCGGTTTGGAGATCGCGGCGCTCGGCGATTCCTTTTTGGCTCCGGGCTTGGGGCTGTTGAGGAATCCTTGCCGTCAACATGTCTTTACACCGCAGACCAGCTGCAGGGTAAAGGGTAACTTGGGTGAGCGGCCCAGTGCGTTGAAGGCGCAGCTAGTGCGCGCGCCAGCCCATGCACCACTGTGATGACAGAACATGACAGAACCCCTGCCACAGGAAATGCTTGACAGAGGAGGAGCGAAAGGAGGCCCGTGCAGTTGTGGGTTTTTTCTTTTGGTGTCAGCGCATCGAACGCAGATGGAGCCCCTAAACAGAAGAAAGTGACCTGAACGACTCCTGTTGCGCGGCAGCATCTACATGAGCTCGGAGTTTTGGGAGCCACTTGCAGGTGCTGTCGGCTCTGGACCGGGCGAGAGCCACGGCTGGGGCGCCCGAAAGTGCAACGGTGCAACCCCTTCCTGTGTGCAGATCACGAAGAGCAGAAAATTTAAAAGCAAGTAAGCCGGGTAGCGCTGTTCGAAGGAATGGGACATGTCTACGCTGCTTTGGAAATTCATTATGCAGCGTAGGCCGTCGGAGGCTTTTTATGCCAGCAGCTCCTGGACTCCAACCCATCCAAACCCTTCTATGCCTCATGTATCCTCATGTCATACTCCGTGGAAAAGACGGGACCTGAGGGGATGGGCCGGATTGGGTTAAGAGATCTGGGCCCATGGGGCGTATCGCGTGCCCGTAGCAGCTCATCTTTGGAGCATGGTCCATCCCTGAGGCCCTCCGCTCGCTGTCTAGCCGCGGACGCAAGTTCCTCGCGGATTCGGTGGCGAGACTCAGGATTTTTGGGTGGGAAGAAGATACACGAAGCAAGGAAGGTATATGTGTGCCTGCTTATGCATGAGGGTACATGCATGCGTGCGTGTGCGCGGGTTTGTGCGTGTGCGTGTGCGTGTGCGTGTGCGTGTGCGTGTGCGTGTGCGTGTGCGTGTGCGTGTGGGTGCATAACAAAGAGGCTCTGGAAATTTATTGATATCTCTTGACGCCAAGACAAGTACCTGCTGAGAAAGGATTGTGATGTTGTCGAACTGCAAGCAATTTCTGAGTAGAATGACAGATCATGTGTGATGTTTAGCCAGGCTGTGCATTTTCATTGATTTTGCTTCATTTATAGTTCTCTAATCGCATCCTGCACTTCAAAGCGAAAACATTCCTGAAAACTGCAGCAACCGGCATGCCCGGATGCGCGCGCGCACACACTCTGGCTTACAAATCCTTCAAAAAGAATGGGTCGTGTTCGTGCGTGGATGTGTGTATATATATATATGGTATATATATATGTATATATATATATATATTATGAAATCAATAAATAGTATAATATGCACATTATGCATTTTCTTTATATGGTCCTCTCCCCCCCCTCCCCTCCTTAATTTGCCAGTGGATACACACCGGCTCCGCCAACGTTTTTAGACTGTCCTCGCGGTGGGGTTTGGGAGGCAGTCTAGACATTAATCTATCAAACCATCTATATTTATATATTATAGACTTATAATGTATATATGTATATATATATATATGTGTGTATCTAATAGATTGATAACAGTATCATTATACATATATATATATAGATATGTTTCTGTGTATCTTTTTGTTTGCTTATTCAGTTGCCTTGTGCACGTTGAGGCAGTGATTCATGAGCTGAGCCCGGGCACACGCCTGAGTGGGGAAGAGGCGGGGCATCACAAACCCCCGCTTCTGACCCCTTGCTGCTCCACGCGGCGCCTACACGGAAGCCAAGCTGGCGTCAGGAATGCACATCTGGGGTCGTACTTGACTGCATCCACCAAAGGCATTCTATTCCAGACCTTCTGTCAGGCATTCGCTTTAGGCAGACTATGTTTAGACTATAGGCATGAATCGGTCACACGTTGCCGTTTACACAATTGACCAGGCTTGGCACGAAGGCCAATGCCTCGTGCTCTCAGGGCAGGTGCGGGCCCTGGAACCAAGCGAACTGGAGAGAATGAGAGAGAATGTCCAAAACAGTGTCAAGAGTGTCAACACCGTTTGTCTCTCCTCGAAGACCTCGCGGCCATCATGAGGCCTCCGTGATGATCACCCCTCCACGGCCGCACTTTGCGCCGATCCCCGAGGCTCTGGCCTCAATGATGTGCAGTGCTTGAAAAGATACTCAGGGAAGCAAGATGAATCGAGCATGGTTTTTTTGACTCTCGGGCGTTTGGGTTGCGAGGCTCCGGGCATAAGGATTCGGGAAGCTACGAACTCTACGAACTCTGGCTTGCCCTGGCTTGCCCGGGCTTGCCCTTTCTCCAGGACGGAGATGTCACCCTGGAGTCACAGCTCGAGGCGCCTGTGCAAGAGCTCAAAGGGCTCGGCACGTTTCGAGGGGTTGAGTGGAGTTTTGGCGACTCTGCTCTTTTTGGCCGCACCCGTCTCCCATTCTGCTTGCGAGAGGGCCATGTGGATCATAGGTCATAGACACAAACCTGAGTTTTCAAAGCTGGTTTCACTCAGAGGTTGCACTCCTGAAGCGCGGAGACACCTTCGGCTGGCATTGGCAGCACAAGGTGCGCTGAAATTGGAAGAGCCAAATGGCCCAAGTC